TGAAATTTAGCTGTATGAGTGTATTGTCTCTAAATTTGCTAGCTGGAAACTTGCTGAAGAAGCTTATAGATTTGGAGGCCCTGGTAAGGCTGTTACACACCAGACTGAACAGTGCGGAAGCAGTGACTGGCGAAGGAGGTGGCAAGAGAAGATCAGTAAAAAGATGCTGTAGTTCTGAAGAGGCTTTAATGATTTCAGATTTGAGGTTTGATTTTTATCTCTTAGAAGGTTATGCGTGCCATACTTTATGAAAGTTAGGCTCTGTATAGCCAGGACCACTTGCAAAAATTTACCATTTATTTAATGTTATGCCTAAGTTTTTTAAAAAAATTATACTACTCCTTTATCTATTATGATTTTTTAAAGAGTTTATGACAAAAGCCAGTTATATGAGAGCATCAACATTAGTTTAAAGTATATTGTGAGATCCCTTATGATAATGCAATGAGGTGTAGAAAATGTGATCAGAAAATTGTGAGTTATGTGGTTTTTATAATATATTTTTAACTGTCTTTTCCCTTTGAAACCATGATAAGAATTGGTTGTTAAAAATCTCGTAATTGGCAGGGAGATGTAAGTTTAGATCTCAAACCTGTTCTTAACCTGTAACTCATTATTGGAGTGTAATTTAAATCTGGAAGTGCCAATGATCATTTCAATAAAATCTACAACTTTGCTCAACTCCATCTTGTTCTTATTAGTTTGAGTCCACAACAAGGTACAAGTGGCCACAAAAACTGTATACTCTTTTGAAAGCGTGTTCATCCTTTTTTTGTAGGATGATTTTATAAACTGCTGATTTTTATTTTTTTTTTAAATACAGTATAAATAATATTGTACAGAAATTGTCCATAGTCTTTCAGGATTTGTGCTTAACTTCCTGCACTATGAGCAGTCCCATTACATTACTCAGAGTATGCAACATGTAAACATGCACAACACATCTACAGGAAAGTTCTTAAATTCTCTATCTTTCCAATAAGTGCATTTCATACTGCTGTAAAACGGAAAAATTTACACAACAATCTGAGCGGCAGAAGCAGTTTGAAGCAGTGAGAATACTGATTCTGAACACCAGTGCTGCGGTACAAATAACTACATTCTTTGCCTTTTCTTCCCCCCATCACACTGCGAAGCCAACTACAAATCAGGATTCACTTTGTAGGTTATTTTTTTATTTTGTTTTCTTTATTATTTTTTTTCATGGCTTGCTTTTACTGTTCCTTTTACATATGCTAGTTCTGTGGCTGCTAAAATTCTCAGTACCCCTGGTTTATGCAAAAACATTAAAATATTGAAATGCCCTAAGTTCATTTGCAGTATTAGGAATGCTTCAGGACATAGTAGGGGCCTGGGGAGAAGACAACAAATTAATGCTATTCCGTGTTGCAGATAAGTTCCACTTTATGAATGATGCATTAGGGAAAGGAGCATTAGAAAGACGTTCCTGACACCCCAGACAGGCTGAGTGGATGGGTGAAGTGGTCTGCTGCCTGCTGCCCTGTGCATCACACAGCAGGAACTGCCTGGCAGGGAGGACAGGGATTTGGCAGTGCAATGAAATAAAGCCCTCAGCTGCCCTGTAAAAGAAAACAACAGCAAAACACAAACAAAACACCCCAGCGTGACCTACCTCCAAAGCTGGGCCCTACTGAGGTAGAACAGTAACTTGGTGTAACATGGACCTGGTTAATGGACTGTGTTCAGATTGCTTGTTTCATGTTTTATATTAATTTAAATGTATTTAATAATCTTTTTATTGTCTGACCTTTTTGTTTTCACGTTTTACTCTTAGGCTTTTAGGTGCAGGTTATGTGTTGTGTTTTTAAAATTTTTTTTTGTTTTTTTTACAGGAAGAGCTGTAGAGGACCATGAATTAGTGATGGAAGTCCAGTCAAACTGGGTAATGGAAGAAGAAAACAAACTGTATTTTAGAAAAAATTATGCCAAGTATGAGTTTTTTAAAAATCCACTGGTAAGTTCTGACATTACATCTGTGAAGTGGTGCAGTTGCTGTTGCTGCAAAATAGTCTTTTCTGTTACACACAGATAGGCAGAGTGTAAAGCTGTTAGTGTAACATGAGTCAAAAGGAATATTTGGCAGGGAATATGTGGGATATAGGAATATATTGTAGTACATGTAACTGTTGGCCGGTACCTTTGTTGCAATTGTAAAACATCCATGTTTGTACTTTTTTTTTTTCTTTTTCGGGTGAGAGGGGCAGACATGGGTTTAACTTTATTGAAGTTTGCACATGGATCTGCGACAAAATAAAGATTTTGAAATTGAGTGAAGTTTCCATCAAGTGACAACAACATATAAAATGAAGCAAGTGTGACGACGGGCATCTGTAGCAAAGATGGTTTTATTGTTAAAGTGAAAATCAAATGTTATGGCCCAGCACTGGCCAATGGCAGCTTTTTACAGCTGCAGCTAAAGACAACTGACACAAAAGGCCATGAGCAGCCATAACCTATTAGGAGTAAGTGACAGTGAAGCCAAAGTTAGTGTATGTAAGGAGTGGAAAGAGAGCAGAGGCAACTCGTAACTCAGGGATATTGCCAGAGGTTAATGCTGCTGATTCAGACCTTGGCTGATGGCAGAGGCCATGGAAGCAGTCCTGGCTCTGCGGGAGAAACTCATGATCTGATTGCTCAAATACATGGTGCGTTTGGGTCACTCCTAATGCTGTCTCTTATAAAGCCAGCTTGTTTCAGATGTCAAAGGGAGGAATAGCAGAAATGTATGAGGACTTGAAAGGTGAAAAGTGGAAGGGAACTCAAATTATCTACCTGTGAAAAGGATGAAAAGGTAAATATTAAGATACCAAAAGATATAAGAGATGTGAAGGTTTTTTTCCTGTTCCACCTGTATTTCTCTGGGCAAATCATGTACTCGCCTGAAATGGAGATATCACTGCACTAGTGAAAAGTTCTAAGCTTGAGATGGTTTACAGTTAGTAGAGAAGCTTCCAAAGAGTAAATATGTTTGTGTATTGGTGAGCCAGTGCGTGGAACCAGCTGTGGAGTGTAGCAGACATGCAGCTGTGACTAGCATCAGCAGCTGTGGCTAATCACGGTCCTTATTGTTCCTGTTGGGTCATTCTTCTGGCTACTGTGGTCCCAGGTGTAGCAAGAATGCTTTATCAGAAATGAGTTGATAAGAATTAACACTAGCAGTAGTTCAGTTTTATTAAAAATGACAGTCAGTGGACGTTGGAAGGTCAAGAGACTGTTAGCTTCAAACTTGTCCAAGGCTTGAGAAACATTTATTAGTAATGGTCAAACTTTTGGCTGGTTCATATCTGCATGACTCTGTTGAACTCCCCAGCTACAGGTCTGTCCCATAAATTCCCCCTCAGTCTTTCCTTGATAGTGAAATTGGCGCTTTAAATGTGGACTTTTTAACCACACCGTATTGATGTAGTCAGATTTTGATGTTAAATTGTATTCATATCATAAAAATGGACAATTAAAAAAAAAAACCAACTGAGAGGACTTGTTTTCAATTAATGGAAGTTATTCCCAGTTGTATTTTAGTGGGTTTCTAGTGTAATGAAAACAATAGCAAACAATATATTTTTCAGGATGTTGGTGTATATCCTCCCTACTTTGTAGCATATTGAATCCTCAGGCAAGCAACAGAAATTACTACTAGAAAAACAACACTCAGGGCCAAATACTGCAGTATGGATTGCACTGGTGTCTCTTGCTTCCAGAGACCATAGATGTTTTATTCAAATAATATAATTTTTCATCAAATAATATATAGGATGTCACAAATTTAGGAATTATATTACGGTAAACTTAGATTATTGGATCAGAGAATCTGCAATGTCTTGCACTGCGTTCAGAACTTTAATTTTATGTCCAAAAGAGATCGGAAGTTTAGTATTTATTTTTACAGAACTTTGATACAAATTGTTGTTGTTACAGAGCTTTTTTCCAGATCATCTGATATCTTTTCCAAGTGAGACCAATGCAGCTGTAAGCCACTCTGGGATGTTACAGGTATGTAATCTTTGAATGAAGATGAACCAGTGTAGCTCAGAATTTCCCATGGTCTTTGCTGTGTGAGCATAGCTCTTTGTCACTGTTGGATCTGTTGCAAGGTTTTGAGTAACTCGAAACATGGTTAATAATTTTTTTTCCTTATGAGATATGAAGTGTCCCTTCCAGACAGTCATTATATGACCACACTTGGAAACTTGGACTTTCTTTCGGGATCAAGGAGCACCAAAGTAGACAAAATGCAGTAAAAATGGTGAATACCTTCATTGGGGTTTTCCAGTGAAAGACCCTGCTTTCTTAAACGGGTGGAGTGCTGCAGTACTCAGCAAGTAGTTACCAGTGGGCCTTGGCAGAATACTGAGGAACTGGTAGTGTGATACAAGTGAATATAGAGAAAGAGTTAAATGGTTAAACTTAATGAGTAGAAAATTTAGACTGACTAGTATGATTTGTTAGCTTGAAGGCTACTGTGGCCTTAGGAAAAGAAATATGGTAGGTCACTCAGTGTTAGTCATCTTTTAAGCGGACACGAGGTTTTAATTTACAGTGGGAATAATTTCACAGAATGACCATATCAGGGATCATCATCTTACTTCTCAAAGAGGGGAAAAACGAGTAATAAAGGTGGAAACATACACATCACTCTTATTTGCTTGTCATTAGAAAAACTTAATTAATAATTCTCTGGTCTGAAGACAACAACCCTATGTGTGAGTTTTAGGGATAAAGAATGATTGGAAATACAACATAATAACACAAGATATTTAAGGTAGAACTAAAAGAAATACAGATATTATATATTTTTTAAATCTATGTAATAAATTCTACCTTAGCATCCACCAGTAAATGAAAAACATTAAAGAATTAATCCTCAAAGCATTCTTCTGTATTAAACACTTACATCCTTGTAGAACTGGATGTTAGTCAGGAGGTTATTATCGCAAATATAGTAAAAAATATTTCAAATTAAATTTAAATGACATATACTAGATTCTGTAAATCCATTTTTATAAACCTAAAGAAAAAATTTGTGATTTCAAAAGATGCTGCATATCTAATAAAAATTGGTTCACTTTTGCTGCCTAAGTAGCAAATAGATTTTTGCAGTCTAACATAAACATTTAATTTAGAAAATCTTGTCCCCTGTGTTAACAGAACTTAATATTTTTTGCTCACAAATGTAATTTGGTAGTTTGAAAAAAATAATAGACTTTTATAATGGAACTGTTTGCTATCTACTCTTGCACAGAACCTCTTTAAGCCCGTGTTGTGATATGTAGAACATGTGCAGAGCTTGTGAGTAAGATTAAGAATCATTCTAAATATATACAGTTGCATAACATTTTGATAGCTTGAAAAATTTATGAACTCTCTTCTGTTGCTATTTTATGTTGTATGGTCTGTTTAACTGTATTTCATCAAATAGAATCATATAATCATTAAGATTGGAAAAGACCTCTAAGATCATCAAGTCCAACCGTCAACCCATCATTGCCATGCCTTCTAAACCATGTCCCAAAGTGCCACATCTACATGGTTTTTGAACCCCTCCAGGGATGGTGACTCCACCACTTCCCTGGGCAGCCTGTTCCAATGCTTCACAACTCTTTCAGTAAAGAAATTTTTCCTAATATCCAATCTGAATCTCCCCTGATGCAACTTGAGGCCATTGTCTCTCGTCCTATCGCTAGTTACTTGGGAGAAGTAACTTCTCGCTTCTCGGCCTTTTGGCTAAGATAAAGTGTAGTCTAGAATTTACTAGGCACAAAGTAAAGAAAACCTTTGTGGATTGTGCAGCCATTATGCACATTTCAGCAGAAGCTGTTGGGTAAATTGTTTACAGTGAGTTGCTATTTCCTTGGAAACTTTCATTAAGACAAGTTAATGGGCTTGTGTTATTATTCATGATGTGCTTGGTCAAGTATCAGGAGAGACATTAGTTTTAACCACTCAGTGCTTACAAGTGATTAAAAAGATAACTTCTGATACTTTTACAGCTTTTTGTGGACTGAGCTGTAAGCAAGTAAAATGTTTTTCAAGTATGTTTTTCTTGACTTGTATTAAAAGTGAAAGAATGAGTATTTTGGCTGATGACTTTAAGTCAGAGCATCTAAATAGCCTCAAAACAAACAAACAAAAAAAATTTGCCTGTCTTCTATCCATTTAACATGTGCTAAGTAAAATTGCTAGGTCAGACATACACCGAATGTCTGTGTATACCAACGAGGGAGGTTTAACCTCTACATTGAGGATCTTTAGTCTGAAAAAAAAAAGTGTGTCACTATATTGGTTGGAGTATGGCTGCTCTGAGACATAACACCGTATGCGCATGTCTAGTGGTAGGCAGTATGGATCATTTGGAACTCGCTTTAGGTTATGTTTGCAAATCGGATGCTTTAAAACATGTCAAAAATGAATGTAGTAGGAAGACTTTAATCTGAGGCCTCTCCCCATAGTAATGAAATATTCTATTACTTTCAGAATTTGGGGTGGGTTGGTAGTTTGTGTTTTGAGAATTAGCAACTTTCATAGGTGGGTAACAAATTGGTTCACTTGGTCTAATTAGATGTGAAACTGTTGTTGAATGTAATTTTCAGTGGGGCTTGTGACTTGTTCAAAACATCATCTACTTATTGGAGCAACTCTTATTTTAGGCGAATTCATGTACGTACTAGATGCTTTATTATTCTTATTCATTTCCAGTGAATAGGCTGCACAGCATAGACAGTATTGGCAGAATTGAGTCCTTCTGAGTTAGCAGGTGAAATCCTTGCCTCACTGAAGTCAATAATTTTATTTTTTAAATTACTTGGAAGGGTCAAAATTTTATCCTAGGTTTCTTTCATTTTCTTTTTGTCTGCAAATAACATTTCCCCAATTATATAATTCTGGGTTTTTAATCTTTAATTGCACTTGTAGGAGAATTTTTTTCACTATGCAATATGTCATTCAGTGTTTTAACAGTGACATCTTCAAAATAGAAGGTTGAAATTACTTGGGTAACTACACTTTTTTCTGGTTTCGCTTTAAGAATAGACCTGTTCCCCCCCATTTCCATATTGTTTAATAGATGCAATTGATATTCAGATTCTGTAGGTAGACTTGAAGTTCAGAGTTCAAGCCTTGACCAATTTGTCTGCTTCTTTATAATAGCTTTTTACGTATAATGTGAATACATTAAAAAAAAGCTATTGTAGATAGCGCATGTCCAAGCCATTTTCCAGAGCAATGAAAAAAACCTTGCACCATATATACTTCCTAAATAAACATAAAAAAATAATGCTATATATGCAAAAAATTAAGGTAAAGACAGAACAGGATTACTGAGATAAACACACATAATTTTGTGAAAGACTGAGATGCTGAGAGTGCCTTTCCCTTTTACCCTTTCCCTATTGCCATCTCTTTCCCCATGTTCTTAGTTGTCCCCATTCTCTGCCTTCACAGATTTAAGATTCAAGCTTTCATTTCTTTAATCTCTTTGCCATAGCAAGTCCGCCTTTCACTGACCAGTTTCTAATCTTGTTCTGTTCCAGTCTTCAGGCTGAAATAGCCATGGACTGAATTTCAGTCTCTTGTCAGTCTCCTAGACATGTTCTAGTCTGCCTGTTGCTTTTCCCCATCTTCCACCCTAGGTTTTGCTGGCCTTTTTTCCAGTCTAAACCCCTCAGATTGACTGAAGTCTACAGAAGACAATATTGGGAATCAGTATCAGTTCTTCACTGGGCTTACTTGGTGCCCCCAGAATCTATCAGCAGGTTCAGGGGAAAATCCTGCTCATTCTCAGTAGCATTGGACTGGATCATGGCCGGCTGTCATCACATCTTTGAAGAATTCAGTCATCAAGTTCAAACTTGATTCACAGAGTCTTAGGAAAATTATGGCTTCTCTAACTCTCTACAACAGTGTGTAAGTGCTCAAGAAGTATCCACCTTAGCAAATGTTGTTGTTGTTTTCTCTGCTACCGCAACCATTTATTCACTGAAAATGTTGAAGGTGCGGACAAGTTGTGTAGTTAGGAGTGCAGCGTTCAATCTCTATTGCATTCAGTGACATCAAATATTTATGCATTTTTTATTATATTCATCTGAGACAGTGCAATGTTTTTCCTGTTCTGGTGGTTTTTTGTGTGTTGATTGATTTGATTTCTGCCCCCCTCCCCCCCCAAAAGACATTTGTATGCTTTGGTTTTTGTTCAGATTCATTTTAAATTGGTTGGGTTTATAGCTAATCAAGTTGTGATATATTTCTATCTGAAAGACATGGTGACATATGACACCACCCTGCACATCATGTTATCTATTTCACTGCAATAGGGAGAGGGTGCAATCTTAGTTCTGTATATTATGTGACCAGTAATCTCTGTCTGCAGCATACCATTATTTAACTCTCCCCAGTTCTTCTTCCTATATTAAGGACTTTTATTATTTTTTCTTATTTTTGTCCTATTTTGATTACCTCTTATCTGCATAAACAGAGATCCATTCCCCCTATAATAAACTTGCATATACCTCCATTAAAAAAAAAAAACAACAAACCAAACCAACGACAAAAAACCCAACCAAAACCAACCCAAAACAAAACAAAAAAAACCCCAAGGAAGTTATCTTTTCTACTATCTTTAGTTTTAGGTGTTTATTACAGACATTCAGTTCTCACTCTGAAATATTTTTACTGCTCATTCCTTCTGACAGCTAATGGTTTTGACTACAGTTTGCTTGTGTTATATTTTCTCACACAGTCCTCAGCTGTCTTAGAAAAAGATGGATCTAAGATTGCCTTTTTCCTAGCGTTATTGCTACTTTATTTTAGTTGATAGCATGGGTACAATAGCGACCACTGAAGCTGAGCTTAGTATTGCTCCTCCACTTTGGTCTGCTGAGTAAGAAGTGCATTTCATGATGGCGCTTCTGGTTTGAAACTCCCATGGCAGAAATCCTGGGGAAGACACTTGTGCAGGCTGGGAGCCAACCATTCCTTTCATCTTCAGCAGAGATACTAAAGCCTAAAAAGATGCTCCTTTGTTTTTACATAATTTGACTCTTTTAGATTTTCTTAAAGCTTCCATATGACTTTGTTTATGGAGTTAAAATCCTTTTTCACTTCAGTCTTACTACTCACGATCAGTGAACCTGTTAACATGTGGCAAATGGGAAGATTAACAGGCTGGAACACCTAGCAGGACCCACACCGCTGCTTCAGTGTGGCTGAAAAAGCTTAAACTGCATTCACACACAGCTGTGTGCCAGCAGCACAGGTAGATAGATGTACCTAGTCATACTGTAATTTAACTGTTAGGTCAATAGCAGTGAAACTATTCATAATACGTTCCTAGTTGTGGGCTAGGGCACTCCCCTGTCCAGTGAAGCCTGCCCATGTTGCTGCATTCACAGCAGCTGAATTTAATTCACTGAGCTTGCTCCACAGGTGGTACAGTCATGCATCTGGCTGAAGGCTAGGAGAACAATAAAAGAGAAGGAAACCATGTGTATCTTGGTTGGACTGCATTATTTAGTGGCCAGAGAACTTGGTGTACTTCCAAAATTACATTCACTTCATCATTTTTCTGCAGTCCAGTACTGGCCAGTCTGGCTCTTGCCTGGTAACCTGTTGCTTCGTGTCCTCAAATCAGACTTTCTGGAAGTGGCAGTGGACAGGAGGAAAATGCAGCAATGAAAGCTGCAAATATCCACCACAAAATCCCTTGTTCCCTACCTATATATAAGCCTAGATAGTATTTATCATTCTGCAGGCCCATCAGGGGCAAGGTTCCCTGAAGAGCTTAGTAGCAACACAGATTCCTTTGCACATATGGAGATTGAAGAATTCTAGGTTAGTCTGTTTAGATGTGAGTCATAGTTCTGAGTAGTTTTATTGGAAGAAGAGTAATAAAAATGAATGCATTACATGAAATTAGAACAAAGTTAACACGGTTGCCAGCTTTTAGTGGGTACTTTTGCAAAGTGAGTAAAAGTATGTACTTGGTCTTAGCAAGATCAGAGCTGTCGTGCTCTCTGGCAATGTCTGGTTGAAATGGCTAAAGAGAAGCCACTGAATATTTTGAGTAGAGGCAGCACGTCAGCTTCTCTCATTGTGTTAGTTAACTTCTCTGTCTATCCATATCTTTCGGCCTTTTCTATGGCTTGTGAGAGCGCATACCTCTTCTTTGCAGTTCTGGAAGCGAAATGGCTGTTCTCCCAGACTTCTCAGTCCTCTTTCCTTCCTCCTGATGCAGCTTTTTCAGTGGTCTCTGTAGGGCATAGGCAGGAGCTGTCTTGGTGACGGGCCCAGCCTCTCCTGGTTTTGCTTCAACTAAAACTCCTACTTAGGCACCACTTCAGGTCCCAAGACCTTTGTTCCCTGCTGTTGAAAATGGTAATATCTGGCTGACCTACTTGGTTTTGTAATTCAGATTTTGTGATTTGTTTACTGAATTAATTTTAACTCAGATCAGTTCCCTTATCTGGGTTGTAGCACAGGGCTGGGGAGGGGTGGCTTTTTTTTCTCCTGCTTTTGGAAGCATTGATTTGTAGTTTTATGTAAATAGGGTCTGAGGCATGGGATCAGAACTTCTTACACTGGTTTTGTTGCTGAAGTCAATATTGCATAACTAATACTCTCATTTCAAACCATATGTTCCATAGAAGTGTGTGACTTGCTTAGCATACCTTGGAGTTGTGTAGCATTCTACACGCATTAAAGCAGAGGTACTCCTAGTGGGATTAGATGCAGTCATAACTGAATTACTGTGATGTGATAGTGAATTTAGGGGTTTATTCCCCTTAGTCCTGTCTGAATATGTTATGAAGCAGAAAGCTGGTTTCAGATGAAAAGAAAAATGCATGCCTGGTATTTTCTTTCAGATGTTCCTAAGTTCCAGCACATATCCTGAGATTCATGGTTATTTGCATGCAAAGGAGCAGGGAAAAAAATCGTGGAAAAAATTGTACTTTCTTTTGAGAAGATCTGGCCTTTATTTTTCCACTAAAGGTACATCTAAGGTAAGCAATTTAAAAAAAAATAAAAGACAACTATGAAGTTGGAGCAAATATGTATGTATTTATCATTTGTTGTAATAATAACCAAAATTTGAATTTCAACTTGTGATAAAAAGGAAAAAAAAATCTATTTATTATAGATAAAATCTAGAGAGATACTGAGAGAGAAAATTTGGAAAGTATGGTCTTAGAAACAGTAGTTTCTTTTCATCTGGTAACTTTGCTTCATTCTGGCTTATATTTTTCCACTCAGTTAACGGAGTGCTCTTTCAAAATGATTTTTCAGATTGTAGTTAAAATTCTGAAGTATGAGTAGATGCTCTGAAAGGTGGGCATAATACTTCATTATCTAAAATAAACAAAAACCTGCATATAAGAAGATTTTACAGGAAGATTTTGAGTGTTCTCAAATTTTTGTCACTGGAGAGTTTTTTGTTTGACTAGTTCAGCTTTTTGATGGCAGTACTTTAAACTTGATTGTGCTCTCAAAACTTTACTCCTATTCTAATGTTATTGTGGCTTGGATTTAGTGAATGTTTTCCCAGAAATGATATCACTTGTACTTTGTTTTTTCTCCTCTAGAAGAATGAACTCTTTGGCTAGTTTGAGGTGGTTTTTTCTCTGCATTATAAAATTCATGTTGAGTTATCTCCTTCTAGATTTCATGATGTCACAGTTAAAACTGCAGTATGTAAGACTGTATTTTGGAACAGGATAGCTACTATACTCTTCTGAGTTTCTTATCTGGAGATGCTGGCTAAAAATAGTCTAACTGTATTACATTGCTCTTCTTTTTAGGAGCCAAGGCATCTGCAGTTTTTCTGTGAATTCAGCAATAGTGATATGTACATGTCTTTGACAGGCAAAAAGATTTCTGGAGCACCAACAAACTATGGATTCTGCTTTAAGGTACAAGCTTATTATTCTGATACATATTAAAGCAGGCCACAGTTTTTAGGTAAGCTTAAATTTCTTTAACGTTTTTGAAAACAATGTTCAGCTGTCTATTATGAAATAGGAGAATTAGTGGCTTTTATTTCAACAGGTATTATCTTGAAGATATGCATTAATGCTAAAAAAATGTGCTGTGGCCTTCTAGCCTAGCAAATCAGGAGGAACCAGAGACCTGAAACAGCTCTGTGCAGAGGATGAGCAAAGTAGGACCTGTTGGATGACAGCAATTAGGTTGCTGAAGGTAATTTTTCTGTGTGGAGTTAACGTCTTGCTTAAGTTTACTGTGTGAAATTTTGATACTGTGTGGTGGAGAAGTAACGTAATTCTAGGTTCCCGTGCAGTAGCAATATCTGTTTTGTACTCTGAAAGCTTATTTTTTTCATCCCAACAAAGAGAGAGAGACCGAATTACTGGAGTCATTGTAGGGGGTGGGATGATGTCTTGAAGCCTCAGTCCTGCAAATACTTATACATAATATATGCTTATACATAACCAGGTTGAATTCAGTGAGATTGCCGAGTAATGTTGAAAAAAGCTACAAGAATACATGGGAAGGGAACTTTATTATGTTTTTTAAATGTGTCTGTGACAAAATAGGAATAGGTCAGCTGGTCTATTAAATGGATTGTATTTAATGCAGAGTGTAAATTTATAAAGGCAGCAGCAACAATGACGATGTTGTGCATTTCCTTATCCTGACAGCATTTGTCCCTGGTTTTTAATGGTAAAGAAAAGCATGTTTTATCTTTTACATCTGGAAAAAAATTTACTTGGCTTAGGTTTATAATTTAAAATGCTAACCATGTTATTTTCTGGTTTTAGTACGGGATGCAGCTGTATCAGAATTACATGCAACCATATCAAGGTAGAAGTGGCTGCAGCCCTTTGAATATAACACCTATGGTATGTCCCACAGTAGCGTCATGAATTAATACGTTGTTTCTGTCATCATGCTATTTTTAAGTAACTTGTGTCAGTTACACTACTGACTTGATCCTGCAAATCTTTGCATGTGCGAATGCTTGCCAAAAACTTTTGGGCTGTCAGGGTTGACTGAAAAACTAATTAATTAATTTACTTGCTTAAAAAAAATTGGGTAGTTCAGACTGGTGAACAGGCTCTTTCCCTTTGTCAAGTCTCCAGTATTTTGGGAGTTCATTGGCTTGTTATCACTGTCAAAAAGAACAGAAAGAGGATTTTGAAAACAGAGCAGCAGAACTGTAAATGCATTAAAAAAGAAGCAAAGTGTTTAAGGTTACACATGCTGTAAATGATGGGTGAGAAAACTATAACAAAACCTTTTTGGTATACAGTAATACTTTCTCTTTTTCTAAATGTAAAATATTAAGTACTTAAGATTAATTTCAGCTGGTGTAATACTGACTAGACTTCAGAGAAACACAATAATTTGGCAGAACTCGATATTGGAGGAGCAACAGCCTGTATCAGATGCTGTGTCCATCTCCTCAGTCAGATAGTTGGGATTGGATCAGGTTGTCCTTTTCTTAAATATCTTACGTTATCCCAGTTCTTTATGAGTCATTTGAATTCAAACTTTTTCATGGATGATTTATATCACTTGTGTTTTTGGTTGGCTAAAAAGGAAAAAAAATTACTTGTTGCTGGGACTTGTGAAAATGATTTTATGATGGATTATTTTAGCTTTTACTATAGTTCTTGCGGTTAAAATGCCTAAAATACGCATTTGCTATTATAGGTATCCACCAAAATAGTTTTCAGAGATATTGCTAATAAGCATGGCTTCAAAATTATGCTTAATACTCTGGCCGTGTCTTTGCTTGCTGTTATGTGAAGCTGTTACAATAGCCAGCTGCTGGTTTTATAGCGGATCTGGGAGCCGTTACCAATTCTCACTCCTCTTACGCTGTTGTGCGCATTTTAGCTCATGTAGCTTCTAACACAGGCAGAATCTATAACCGGTATGAAGCATGGCACTGTTTTTCTACTTGTGTATAATTCATGAATTAAGCAGCAAATTGGATAAACTTGGGAATTAAGCGCACAAGCTAATGAACGTACTTCATAGACGAACCACTTGTGTTGCACATTCCTCAATGACTCACAACCATGTCAGCTACTAGAAGTTCCCTCCACTCTTCTAGAGGCAAATATTTTCTCTTATTTTTCCCTTGGTTTTTTTTTTGCTTTTGCAAAGGTCTTTACAGGTTGCAGTTACTCAGGCAGTCCTTAGACTACAGTGTCAAGAATTACAGAATTGCTGTCTTGTGTTTCTAGTTATATTCACGCTTGTAACCAAACAGGAGCAAAACAGACCTGCTTTGGTTTAGGACTGGGAAGCTTTGCTAACCCTACAGAAATCTGGGCCTCTTGTGTTCCAGATGTTACTTTAACTTATAGAATGCTAAAATGTTCTTTTAGTTATTTGATATTCCAGTGCTTGCCAACATCTGAGCCATTACAATCCACATTAAACTTCATTTTGTAAACCTTGGTTTCTGAGATGTATTTTGGTGATTTTTAAGACTGTTTTGTCAATCTTCAGTGCTTTTTATTCTATTGTTACAAACTTCATCTTCACTGGAAGAAGAAACCCAAGCGTTTTTATAACGAATCCTACAGTTGTTGAGTCTGTGATAAGAGTTAGAAGAGATGCATTACAACAGAAGTTAGACTCCATAGAAATGACTGTTTTCAATGCTTAAATCTCATAAACTTTGAGTGAAAGTTTATATACAAAAGATATAAATTTGACTTTTATAGCAAAATACTTCAAATCTTTATTAATTTGTTCGTTATATAAAAGAATTTTGTGGTTTTTTGTGCTTCTTGGACAACTTAGTTTCCTGACTTGTTTTGACATGCAAAGGGCTAGTTATAGTTAAAAATATAAATGGAGTTTATGGTAAAGCGATGTATTTATCATCCATTGAAGTAATGCAAAAAGACAACCTGTCCTGCCAGACTGTAAAATTGAGCTTTGCAGCAGCATACTGGAATTACAAATACTCCCTAGGGTAAAATGAGTTTGCCTCTGATGGGAAACACTGCAGATACATGAAACACCACTTAGAAAACGTCATGTGTTCTCAGGCGCTCACTTTTAAATGATGGATCTTTTAAAAAATGAACAAACTAAATTTATTTTTCTTTGTTGCAGAGAAGCATTTCAGAGAATTCTTTAGTAGCAATGGATTTCTCGGGACACAGGAGCAGAGTTATAGAAAATCCAACAGAAGCCCTTTCAGTTGCAGTTGAAGAAGGATTAGCATGGCGGGTATAAACACGTTTGCTTTATCAGAATAGTATTTTCTAATTTTTCTGCTTTAAAACAAAAAAGCTTTGCATTCATGTTTTTATTTCTCTCTCATGCAGAGGAGAGGGTGTCTGCGACTCAACTCACATGGTAGTCCTATTGCCATGTCTAACATTGGTATGTGTGAGTTAATTCACTTCCAGAGAAATGCAATAGCGCATTCTTTCAATAAAGGCAAAATGTTTTTTAAAGATCTTTATTTCTACAGCTATACACAGATCTCAGTCGTGGTTTCATCATAAAATCTCTAGGCAAGAGGCTCAGAGACTTATTTTGCAGCATGGACTGGTAGATGGGTAAGTTAATTCTTTACATAACTCTTCTGAGACACGTTTCTAGTTAACAACTGCTATTTTCATGTACTTATTGGTGGGGGATGGAGGAAGGACGATTTTGCACTTACCTAATAGAAATAAAAATTCTTTTATATAGGGGTATCTGGGGATCAGTTGGTTTCTGTTTTATATCTTTTGGAAGCAATAAAGTGGTGATCTAACACTTTGATTCTGTCACTGACAGATTACTTATGTCTGCTTAGAGCCAAGCACTTGAGCTCTGTATTTGCACAATATTCTCTGGGAACTGTCAACTTTGGCACCAGTGTCGTTTGTATCTCTTATTAGTGATGAAAGAACGAAAGAAAGCTGGAAAACATTGAGTAACCTTATTCTAAGATGAACTGTGCAGAGTCAGCCATTGGAAAAAAAGTATGCTTTTCCTCATGAAATGACTAAAAATTGTATTATCCCTAATGGTAAACAATAAACATTAGGATAAGACTGTTCACGTTTGGTTTTCTCTCATTTAAGTATTAATTTAAAAAAATGACAAAGCAAGTAGATGTTTTATGTTCAAATCCTCCTGGTTTTCATTTCCGTATTTTTATCCTTACGTCTGTATTAAATGTAAACTTAGGCGTCCTTCATTCAACGAGTAATTCCATAAAACTCCTAAGTTTTTCTGAGTCTGTTTCCAATCAGGTACCTGTAATATCAGATTACTGGTTAAATACCTTCAGTTTTAGCTTCAATCTGTTGTAATACTGTTTTCTACATATGCAGAAAGGGCTCTTGGAAAAAAAAAAAAGAGACGGGAAGGAAGGGGAGACACAAGTAGTCATACTCAGCAGGGATGGCTAACTGGCCTTCCCCTGTTGTGTTTTTTCTTCTATTTTCTAATTTCAAGGGCCCGGTTTTTAAGCCCAGCTAATCATCCTGAAACTGCTTTTGTATTCTGCATTCACTTTTGCATTTGTTACATGAGAGGGATGGGACATGAGGGTGAGCCAACATGTATTTCAGAGCAGTATGTCATTTTAGGGCTGATGAATCTTCCAGTGTGTTTCTGTGGGTACACACACATACTGCTAAATGAAACCCAGTAGATTCGACAAGTAAATAGCAACGGTGTTTGAGATGACAAAGTGAGTGCCTTGCTAACAGTAGTTAGGTATAGTGTGGTTTTTTTTTTATATTCTTGGATGTATGCATAGATATGCGTTGTGGTTTTGGTGAGGATGATACTTTTGTGTGGGCTGTCTAGAATTGATTAGAAAGTGGTAGTGTGAGTGGTTACATGCTGTCAGATAACATATTCAGGAGTTCCAGTGAAGTCATGAATACATTACAGCATGTGACAAACGTTGTGCTTTTTGACAGGCTGAAAGAATGAATTATCACCAAAAATACAGAAGTTTTTTGTGGGAATAATAAGAATTTAGTTTCTGGGGGCAGGGGAGAGGTGAGGCAGAGAAAATAACCCATGTTAAGCGTTTCAAGTTGCATCCCAAGCAGGGAGATCTCCTGCATACATGTAATGACAGAGGTGGTAGGACCTCTGTAATACTGTATGCACCAACAAATACACTGCTCAGAATAGCTTATGGGACTACTATATAAAGGATCTGAAGTAGTGTCAGTATTGGAATAACCCAATAACAGGATTAGGCACAGCAATGATCTTAAGGTGTGCTGTAAAGGAGTAAGGTTTTTGGATCTGCTGTTCTGGTGTAAAACCAACTTTCTTAGAGAAGTTTATGTGGCGATATTGTAGATTTCATACTTTACTCCCTAAAGGACATTTGAAGACTTTTCAGTGATAAATCGTTGATAGGATTGCAAACTGATCAGCATCTGACTGATGAATGGGATAACAGCATTACCAAAAGGCCCATGACAATGCAACTGGTCATTCAGAGAATTCCTTAGGAGTTTATGAAGGAGTGGTGGTTTGGAGTCATCCAGCATGCCTAAAAAGCTCCCTTCCAACCAGCATGTATAAGATTCTGTGAACTGCAACCCTTTCTTCACCATAAAGTGATCTTTTTAAAGGTTCTTTAACAACTAAAGTAGGTCTATTGCGTGAAGGTTAGAAAAGAGTAAAGATCTTTTTATGTAAAGGAGGACAAGTGTTGGTTATCTCTGCTGTTAAAACAAGAAAAAATTAAGAAAATGGACTCTAAAAGAACTGATGAATGGGAACGTAAATCCTAAGCAACCTGTATTTTCTTTGCTACCCAACATGATTACTTTGTGTATTAGTTAATGTGGATCCCAGTATTTGGGTGTAGAGACCCCATTTTGAATATCTGCAAAGCAGCACATTCTTATAGTCTCATTTTTCTGAATGAAATAAAATGCCAGTCCTTAATGACAAACATATAAAAGCTTTAAGTTTATGCAAAGGATCTAACTGCTCTGAAAAATGTGGTTGATGTCTTGGAGCGGGTGGAAGGCCACTAGGTGGGGAGAGAGAGCTTGCAGGCAGAGCCTGGGCCCTCTTTAATAAATGAATTGGTATGGATGGGGATTTTGATAGAATTGTTAATGATTATGGACTCCAAATTTCTTTATTCCAGGTATCCTCTTACTTTGTAAAAATAGAACTCTTAAAAACTTTGAGGATGAAATTAGTAGTTTGCATCCATGCCGTTAGTTAGTGAAAATCCACTGTAAGCCTTTGTCTGCTTTCTTCTCCTGAAATCCTTTAATTTCATAGAATAATTGTGCTCTAATTCCTGGTATGTGGTTGGGCAGCAGTGGGTGGCCCCTAGTGCTCACTTGGTTGGTACCTGCAAGTCCATTTTGCACGTTCCCTTTGTGTCCTAGAAGAGGAGCGTGCTTGCACTGGCTGTCCTGTCATTTCCCTGCGTTGGTACATTGGTTAGCTGTATCTGTTCCACACCTGCACAGTACAAACAGTTCAGACTCTCTCTGCTACAGAGCCGTGAATCAGGTTTTTCCCTCTGTCCTCCAGACTGTTCTCTGCCAATATCCCAAATCCAGGGATTCAATGAAAGCCATCTCTTATTGGTAATCGTCCTTTGCCTGTACCAGATTATTCTGCCAGGATTACGGCAAAATTATGTCTGTCCATAACCTGGCTGGAATAAGTTATTAGTGAACTAGTTGCAGTGACACTGTTGGCCATTTAGTGTGCTGTGATTTGAATGATGATGCCATAAAGTGAGAAGAGTGTAGCTTTGTCTCAGTGGGAGTTTTGCTGGTGTGTGGAAGTGAGTGTGCATTTATGAATATTGGCCAGATGTGAAAATCATTCTGCTGTGTCTTGCATTACCTTTTCTGTAAGCTTCCTGTTGAACTACCTTTCGAATTTTCCCTATAGCGCTTGTGATTTAGGTAACTGTCAAATTCCAAAGAAAAATTTTCTTCAAAGCACAAACGTGGAGGGTGCTTTTCTGTCTAAAGAGATGCATTGTAATTCTATGCAGTGTAAAAACTAACACCTGCAGTGTCATTCATTCTGAGAATGCATATTTTTCACATAATACACAAGGTGAAGAAGAATTTAAGAAAAAGTATTTCTGTTGACACATTTGCAAAGAAATACTGATTAAAAGCATGAGTTATGTAATTAATATTATTTTTGCTTTTCACTAATACTTCTGTAATGATTTTACAACAGTTCTAACTGGATGTTTACAAAAGGCTTTCCAGAGTGATCTTACTGTGAAAATTTTCAATCTCTTTTAGGGTATTCCTGGTACGCGACAGCCAAAGTAACCCCAAAACATTTGTATTGTCATTGAGTCACGGATTAAAAATAAAGCATTTTCAAATTGTACCAGTAAGTAATTTTTTCAGTTTATTTCTACAGTTGTAAAACAAAACGAATATTTGTGATAGAATATTGCTGGATTTTTTGTTCTTTTGCTGTTATATGGAAGATGTAAATGTAATGCCTGTATCACTAAAAATAATTAGTATTCTTGAGCAGAGCTGAACATTTTTGAGTTTTGCTGTTTGATTTGTTACAAAGCTTGACTAGAATTATGATATCCTAAAAAGTGTCTCAAAAAATAGACAAATGTATTTCAACTGGAACAGAAGTAACCCTGATGGCATGAAAGTCGTGTGTTGATAAAGGTCATATTGCCTTTTCATTTTTCAGTATGTGCACAATTTCTCTTTAGTTATCTGTTTAGGTGGACTGCCTATGACGTGCGTGTGTTTATCTCACCAACTCATCTGTTCAGGATAGTTTCTCTTGATCTTTGGAGTCAAACATTTCCTGCTGGCCTCGCTTCTTGATTCATGTTATTGTGGTATATTCATCTCCAGGTCTTCTTCAGGGAGACAATTTTAGCAAAAAATTGGTATCCTTATTTAGTCCAGCTACTTATAGGTAAGCTGAAATTTTCTAAATTGAAATCCTATTTCCATCAGTTTTCATTGAAGTTATCATCCAATTCACCTGCCAGAATGGCAGCTTTCTCCATCACTTCCACTCCCTCCAGAGGCGGTTTATACCGGTTTCTTTACAGGCTGCTTCTGTTGAGATAAGAAACACTTTAGCATTATGTGTTTTAAGCACATATGCTTGACATAACTGAGCATGTCAGTCAGCCTTTTCTTCGCTATAGATTTTTCTTCTCTTTTCATAAGAGAAAGTCTTCCAGACCACATAACACTTCAGCTTCCATATTTCTTCCTGCTGAAGTTTCTAGGAGATTCTGCTGTTTCTTAGTAGAAAGGAGCGTAGTGGCATTGTTCGTGATCTGGTGGTCCTCTATAATCGTTCACCTTACCTAGGGCTGGTAGCTGATATCCTCTCCTAAAGAAGTTCCTATAGAATAAAACTGAAGTATTATTGGGGAAGAGGAAAGGAGTGAATCGGTGTTTGTTAAAAGAATTGTCCAGGATTTTTCTGTTAGGTACAAACAACGGAGGAGTCCTTCATCCAAAAGTGATAGCTGTGCTCTGGATCCCATGCGAACATCAGCATATGCTCTGTGATCAGAATCCCAGGTGTAAGATCTCTGTCATCCTGTTGACTGGTTGCTTCTAGTATTTACTTTGGGATAACTTTTGTGTGGTTTAGAAAACCTTCTGAACTCCGTACAAATACTGTATGATTCTACTTC